CTTGGATTGAGGAATCGGAGAGCCGAGTTCGAATTCCAGTCGAATCCATTACATTCACTTACGTGCTAATACCCTTGGGAAAGGTGTGAATCCTCTTTCTCCTCCCTCCAGCTATGGGCAAATAGCAGGACAGACTGGGTTCTATAGCCTTGGATGGCAACTGGTCTAGGAGAAGGAAAACTCTGAATTCAAACCCCCTCTTAGAGGAGGGTGAATGGAGTCTCTCTGAGCCTTGGTGATGGTGTCACGATAAAAACATCCTTGATAGCCCTAGCGAAGCATCAAGAATTCAGCTATTTGACAAGATTATGAACTACACCAATCAAAGTATTAGTGAGTTCAATCTCGGATGAGGCCGCAAGATGAGATGATGAATAGTGCCGTGAAGTAGAGTTAAAATTTTGCTTAGTTTGCGAGCTAGTTCATGTGGGGCGCTGCCTATCCCTGATATGATAGGTCTCTTTTGTATGTTCGGTTTATGTGTTTTTGGTAATCCTAATAATGTGGGTGTTATTGGATGGCATTTAGTAAGTTTTATCCAGGATAAGTATTCATTTTTGGTAACTTTTTGATATCGCTTGTGATTTTTTGTGTTTCTTTTATAGCTTTGTTTTCATGTACTTTTTCATAGATGTTATTATCGTAATGAGATCTCTCATCTGTTGGTAAATGTCTTTATCATATATATATATATATATATATGTGTGTGTGTGTGTGTAGCTGACATGAAAAGGGCTGCACCGCTGGAAGTCCGCCTGAAGTTAAAAGCAGTAATCGAGTTCTTTGTTGCCGAAGGAGAAACTCCCCTAAACATTCGCATAATATTTACATCTCTTTCGTGCAATGAAAGATGCTCCGAGGGGTTAAACGTTATCATGGCGATGATAAAGTAAAAAAAATGCTGTTATGAATTGAATATATCACCTGCCAACTGAGTCTTACGAAGCTGGAATAAATGTACTCATTCTCTGGTGAGACACTGCCATTTTGAAAAAGGTGGTGACTACGACGGAAAGTAGAAATGTATAGCTATATCTTGATGTTTGATTGTGTTCTTTATTTCGCATATAATAAAACAAAATGCATTCATTTTTTACTCACTCTCGTAGAAATTTTCATCCAGATAACATTAAGCATTCATTGACAAAACAGTTAATGTCAGTTGAACTTTAAATTATCTTTTATTTAAAGCAGTTTCTCAGGAAATTATGCATTTTAAATCCATAAAATGTTAGCGCTCATTCTAGTACTGATAAAACTTTCCATCTAAACCTTTTGTTTTATTGACTTTTCATCGACACTTAAAGCCCGAAAATATTTTTAGATTGTAAATAAAATGAATATTACGAACCCAACATGAATTGAAACTCCGCTCAGCAATTCTGAGCCATTATCCATTAAACCACCCACGCATACAAACTTACAGCACCTGGTATTCACATCTAGATACAGCCCGGGTTCGACGTTGCTTAACTTCGGTGATAGAACCGGACCCTTGTTTCAGTATGATGTGCTCGTTCGTAAGCTTTCGAAATTTAATACAGCACTCTTGATCTAGTTATCTATTTTACCATATATATATATATATATATATATATATATATATATATATATATATATATATATGATATGATATGAAAATGGCTGCAGCGCTGGAAGTCTGTCTGAAGCTAATCGAGTTCTTTGTTGCCGAAGGAGAAACTCCCGTAAACATTGGCAAAATATTTCCATCTCTTTGGTCCAATGAAATATGTCCCGAGGGGTCAAACGTTATGATGGTGATGATAAAGTGAAAACTATTGCAGTGAATTGAATGTATCATCTGCCAATTGAGTTTTACGAAGCTGGGATAAATGCACTCATTCGCTAGTGAAACACTGCCATTGAAAGAGTTGGTGACTATGATGAAAAGTAGGAATGTGAACTTGTTATGTATAGCTTTATCTTGATGTTTGATTGTGTTCTTTATTTCGTATATAATAAAACAAAATGCATTCATTTTTGACTCACCTTCGTAGAAATTTCCGTCCAGATAACATTAAGCATTCATTGACAAAACAGTTAATGTCAATGTCGGTTGAACTTTTAATTATCTTTTTTTTAAAGCAGTTTCTCAGGAAATTACGCATTTTAAATCCATAAACTATTAGCGCTCATTCTAGTACTGATAAAACTTTCCTTCTAAAGCCTTTGTTTTTTATCAACATTTTGCAGGTTATTTAAAGCCAGAAAATATTTTTAGATTGTAAATAAAGTGAATATAACGACCCCAACGGTTATTGGAACTCGGCTCTCCGATTAACAATTTCATGTCATTATACATTACACCACCCGCATATTCAAGCTTACAGCACCTGGTATTCCCAAGTTAACCACCCATGTGGTTGCTGACCAGCCTTGACTTTGCTTAACTTCGCTGATCGTACTTTCGACTTTCGCAGTCATTATCATACTAGACCATTTCAAATATCCAGCTTCCTAAAGAATACCAGCATGTAGACGAAGGAATTGTAACCACACCAGTTCTTGATAAAGACTGCGTAAGTCGAAAGTACTTGATCGAAATTAAGTAAATTTGAAGTTTGGATAGTTTGTCAACATCTTCATGAACAATATTCAACAGCTTATCCTATAATTAGGATATTTAATAAAAAAGTCAAAGTATTTTTTTTTTAATTTTTAGTCAAACTTGTTTGGATATACCAGGTGTATCAGCAAAATTATCCAACTCGTGTAACAGCAAAATTATCCAACTCGTGTATCAGCAAAATTATCCAACTCGTGTAACAGCAAAATTATCCAACTCGTGTATCAGCAAAATTATCCAACTCGTGTATCAGCAAAATTATCCAACTCGTGTAACAGCAAAATTATCCAACTCGTGTATCAGCAAAATTATCCAACTCGTGTATCAGCAAACTTATTCAAGATTATCTTCGCCTTTTCTAACCGTCTAACTTTCTCTCCTGGACTAACAAGGTGCCTCATACGTTACTGGTCTTTGGACTGTTATAGTTGAAACACCTCTCTCACGTGCCAAACGTCTAATGGATTGAGTTGGATCTTTTCTAATTGATCTCTTTAGTTTAAGTTGAAATGCATAATAAGTTTGCATAATAATTAGTAAGTTTTGGTGAATTTCAACCCGAATCATTACTCACACCACGTGAAGCTAAGCAATACAATAAAATATGTTTTCTGAGGTTTCTTCCCGTGTCGACTGGAAAAAGATTTAGTTATTTTAACACTCTAATTGATGGTGTAATCTGAAAGGTACACTGAGATATAGATATTTCCTCAGCTTAACTTATTATGACACACGTATATAATTATCACCCAATCACTAACTGAAACCTCATTCTCTTTTTTTTTTTTTTTTTTTTTTTGCAATATCTTTCACCCTTTATAAGGAGCGGGAATTATTTAAGGCAGAGGGTTAGGTGAGGAAGAAATTTATGCGGATAGGGGGTGGAAGATAACCGTTAACGCTAGCCTTGAACAGGTTAAGATTATAGCGATCGAAGTAACAACCTTTTGGGAGTCGGTTCCAAAGAGTATTGGTTCGACGGAAGAAGCTGTTCGAGTGGAACTTACTTATGACCGATATTGGGTGGTTTGCTACTATGTATGTGGGATGACGTTTTCTTGATATCATGCTTTTAATTGGCAGGACCAAGGAATGTAGTTCGTCTGAGCACTTTCCGTAGAACCAGCTATAGAGGAGTAGAGGCTTGCCACATACCGCCTGTGTGAGAGAGGCCGAAGGGTGGAAAATAATTCGTCACCCACAAGAGATGGGAGACGTTTTTGGACTCTATCAAAGCTAGAGAGTGGGGTCTGGAGAACTCCCACACAAATATAACAACAGTGCTTCATTTTTGGGCTGATCTCCTGTTATAAAGTTAAAAGATAGCAAGAGGAGCATGGAGCCACAACATCAGGAAAACAAGCATTGCCGCTGTAGTTTCCGTAGAAAAAAATATGGTATTATAGATTAGTTTCATGCCCAACCAGTTTTAAATTCAGAGGTGTCCTTCTCTTGAACTGATTGCCAACCAAGGCTGAAGATCCCAGTCTACTCTACTATATCTTTCTACTAGACTTCATATATTTCCCATGGCTAGTTGAAGGCTTAGAGCCATATGGCGTTGTAAAACCGGTGAGCGTACGATCACTGAAGTTAAGCAACGTCGAACGTGGTCAGTACCTAGATGAATGACCTCTTGGTAATACCAGGTACTGTAAGATTGAATAAGTGGCTAGTGTAATGGACAATCGGAGAGCAGACTTTCAATTTCAGTCAGGTTTGTCATATTCACTTACGCGCAAATATCCTTTTGAGAGCTATGTATTCGTCTCTTCGTCCCCCACTATGGATTAATTAGTAGGATTTTTTTTATCAGTAATTTATTATCCCCCCACCAAATTTCTGACATTCTAAAAATATTTCTTGGCTTTAAATAACCAGCAAATTTTGACAAGTTTTAAAAAAATCAAAGAAATTAATAAAACCGATGGTACCAACGCGACGAGTGATCATTACGGGCTACTAACCATTACATCAATAGCACATTCGTCTACCCAATTCCACTCACTTCTGCTTGTGTTAAACTGTTGTATTGTTTTTAAGCAGTTCCCATGAGCCACAAGACTGGCAATCGACAGCATCCACTAATGATAAAATTACTTCAGTAGAAACAGTCAACCACTATTCTTTATTGATGCACTTCATATACTAGAAGAAATAAATCAATCTTCAAATGTTTAATCTCAATCAATAAGTAGATTATTTTATTCCAGAGACGAAGAATAAAGCGGGAAAAATGTGTAATAATCCTAGATATGAAGCTTACAAGAAATGGTCGTCTTTCTCAGTATTTTCTATTGGTTACTAGCATAAACAGATAAAGAGAAAGCAATTTACATTTGAAATTGCTTTGACTAAAAGAATGTCAAAGGTGGACGCCACTTTGGGTCACAAGACAGGGAAAGTAATCAGAATGCCAAGAACACGGGCCGGTGTTGGGGCTGGTCAGTGACTTATAAAAATTGGACCGTCCAGGGAACTTGGCAAAGTAATAAAATATACTTCTGTCTTATTACCACAGAAACCAGCTCTTCCAAGACTCTGTGTCCGCAAGAAAATGAAGTGCCAAGTCTGGAAATATGGAAAAGTGCATCTGCCATGATTGTCTTTCCGACTGACCGAGGTCAGCAAAAAACAAAAACAAAACAAACAAAAAAAACAAACAAATAGAATTATTTCGAAACAAGCAGATCATTACAAAGTAATTACAACTAGAAATATCCGAGAAAATTTCACGATTTTTCTTATTAGAATTTTCTGATGAATTTTGATCCTGCGTTAATGACTGAATAAGCTCCAGGTCAAATCCATAACTATAGAATAACCATGGGCATTTCCGTTTTGCATCGTTAAATACTTAAGCTTAAGATCTTCAACAAAATATTGAAATAATAATCATAGACATGAATGCAGGTCATTATTTAAAGTAAGAATGTATAAATGGAAATACTTGCAATTACAAGATTTTTATTTCCATGAAGCAGACGTTAAGAGTGTTATCGCCTCCTCTATCTTGCCTTTCTTTCTTTCTTTCTTTCTTTCTTTCTCTCATTCATTTATTCTTTCCTTTTTTCTTTTCTTTAAGCAATTCACCCCAAGCAAAGCGAGAGTGCTACTGGTACACAAAGGGCTACAGAGAGTGTAAGGGAAAAATCTTGGTAGAGGGGGTGAGGATGAGGAAAGAATAAAAAGAAGAACGGAGGGGGATCAAGACAACAGAAGATGTCGATTGACAGTACATTTAAATTTTTGAAGATTATTAGTATCAGGGAAGCAAGTAAGCGGAAGGGAGTTCAACTGTCGGGAAGTGCGAGAGAAGAAGCTGTTTGAGTAGAAGAGGCGGTTACATTTAACTGTTTCGATAGTAAAAGGACGAGACCAAGATTCATTCATTCATTCTTTCTTTCTTTCTTTCTTTCTTTCACTCATACGTTCATTCATTCTTTCTTTCTTTCATTCATACGTTCATTCATTCATTGTTTCTTTCTTTCTTTCTTTCTTTCACTCATACGTTCATTCTTTCTTTCTTTCTTTCTTTCACTCATACGTTCATTCTTTCTTTCTTTCTTTCACTCATACGTTCATTCTTTCTTTCTTTCTTTCACTCATACGTTCATTCTTTCTTTCTTTCTTTCACTCATACGTTCATTCTTTCTTTCTTTCTTTCTTTCTTTCACTCATACGTTCATTCTTTCTTTCTATCTTTCTTTCACTCATACGTTCATTCTTTCTTTCTTTCTTTCTTTCACTCATACGTTCATTCTTTCTTTCTTTCTTTCACTCATACGTTCATTCTTTCTTTCTTTCTTTCTTTCTTTCTTTCTTTCTTTCACTCATACGTTAATTCTTTCTTTCTTTCTTTCACTCATACGTTCATTCTTTCTTTCTTTCTTTCTTTCACTCATACGTTCATTCTTTCTTTCTTTCTTTCTTTCTTTCTTTCCTCATACGTTCATTCTTTCTTTCTTTTTCTTTCTTTTCTTTTCACTCATACGTTCATTCTTTCTTTCTTTCTTTCTTTCTTTCACTCATACGTTCATTCTTTCTTTCTTTCTTTCTTTCTTTCACTCATACGTTCATTCTTTCTTTCTTTCTTTCTTTCACTCATACGTTCATTCTTTCTTTCTTTCTTTCTTTCTTTTCTTTCTTTCACTCATACGTTCATTCTTTCTTTCTTTCCTCATACGTTCATTCTTTCTTTCTTTCTTTTCTTTCTTTCTTTCTTTCTTTTCACTCATACGTTCATTCTTTTCTTTCTTTCTTTCTTTCACTCATACGTTCATTCTTTCTTTCTTTCTTTCCTCATACGTTCATTCTTTCTTTCTTTTCTTTCACTCATACGTTCATTCTTTCTTTCTTTCTTTCTTTCTTTCACTCATACGTTCATTCTTTCTTTCTTTCTTTCTTTCTTTCACTCATACGTTCATTCTTTCTTTCTTTCTTTCACTCATACGTTCATTCTTTCTTTCTTTCTTTCTTTCACTCATACGTTCATTCTTTCTTTCTTTCTTTCTTTCTTTCACTCATACGTTCATTCTTTCTTTCTTTCTTTCACTCATACTTTCATTCTTTCTTTCTTTCTTTCTTTTTCCTCATACGTTCATTCATTCTTTCTTTCTTTCTTTCTTTTTTCCTCCATACGTTCATTCTTTCTTTCTTTCTTTCTTTCTTTTTCTTTCCTCCATACGTTCATTCTTTTTTCTTTCTTTCTTTCACTCCATACGTTCATTCTTTCTTTCTTTCTTTCCTCATACGTTCATTCTTTTTTCTTTCTTTCTTTCTTTCACTCATACGTTCATTCTTTCTTTCTTTCTTTCACTCATACGTTCATTCTTTCTTTCTTTCTTTCTTTCACTCATACGTTCATTCATTCTTTCTTTCTTTTTTTGTCTTTCTTTCTTTTTTTGTCTTTCTTTCTTTCAATCATACGTTCATTCATTCATTCTTTCTTTCTTTCTTTCAATCATACGTTCATTCATTCATTCTTTCTTTCTTTCTTTCTTTCTTTCTTTCTTTCTTTCATACATTCATTCTTTCTTTTTTCTTACTTTTCAATTCTTTTCCCTAAAATTAAATAGCGCCTTTGATATATTTTTTTTCTTCTATCACTCCTTACAATCAATCAAGAATGGTCCATTGTTTAATGGCCGACCGTTCGTCTCCGGTTCAGCTAATCCTTGTAGAAGCTTGCTCTGGCTTAGTTGTGTTTCTTCATCACTCGCGGAGCTAATCCGTGTTTTATAAACTTAGAACTTAGTTTCAGTTTCCTGAGGTGAGCGCTAATCTGGCTTGACCATTAGGTAAAACACAACCTGTACGCACAATGGTTACAATGATTTGTGACTGCTTGCTAGTCCAACCATCGACAGCTTATGAACAGTTCCGTCTATCCAATTCCACTAACTATAGCCAACCTAAGGTATTGTTTTCAGGTACATCGCAAAGCTGCTACACGCAGGGGTCGTCTCCAAACGCCGATATTATCAAAAAGACAAACTTACCAAGGGTATGAGTATTATGGTCGGAACGCACACCTGTGACGTCGTCCCCCCTGGTCGCAGCGTCGACTGTGTCGTTCGATCCCGTTCGCGGCGCCAGCTGTTCGCTCCTCGCTGCTCCAAGTGTGACGTTCTAACCCTTTGGTTAGATGAATACCAGCCTCGTCGTTCCCAACCCGCTTCCAACGCCTGGTTACCAGGGTAACTGCACTGATCTCCGGTCTGCCTACCCACGTTGTGATTAGATCTTAGACAGACGGGATCAAACAGGGATTGGGCCGTATGCAAGCTGAGTCCAACGGGGGTGATAGCACACAAGAAAAATAAAAACTCACAAGGTCAAAATTATTGAAGAAAAAGGTAACACATTTTTATATCTAATTGCTCGTTACACAAGATTATTCCTACCTCCCGACCCATTCTGTGGACTGTGGCAACACGCTTCTACCAAGCAACTTTAAGGCTTCGAGTTGCCTGCTCTCTAGAAATTTGCATTTCGGGGTGTGGTTTGGTTTCAACACTGGGCTCTGATCTCTGCTTGTCGTTCACGGCTGATCTCTCTCGCCGTCCGCGGCGCAAACTCTCTGCCTGTCGTTCACGGCTGATCTCTCTCGCCGTCCGTGGCTGCAACTAACTCTCTCTTCAGAGTCTGAATTATTGTTCACTCATCTCCGCCGTCAGTGCGCGAATTAACTTCTTCTCTTCGGCTTCGGTTGGACGAGCTTATTCACTTCGGCTTGGGTTGGACGAACTTCTCTTCTTAGGCCAAACGGACCGGCCTTTCTTGCCCGCAAAGGGGACAAATGAACCGGGCCCGCCGTCCGCGCTCAAACTCCCTCGCCGTCCGCGGCGCAACTCTCTCTCGCCGTCCGCGGCGCAAAAACTCTGATTTCTGTCGGTTGGGGTCCCGCTTTTATTGATGCAGTCAAAAACTGGGGTGGGTCTATCGGCGCCAGGGTTTTCCTGATAATTCTAAATACGTATCCACCCTTCTTATTTCTGATTAGGGATTTTCCATTTTCGGTAACTTACTTTCACTCCTACTCCCTTACTGTGCCTCTGGGGGCGTATACCCGCTTCCCCGCTCCTTCGTATGTCATGTGACCGCTCTCGGCCAATGGGGTCCTGGTCGGGCATCTTTCCTCCTCCCTCGCACGTCATGTGACCGCTCTCGGCCAATGGGGTCCTGGTCGGGTGTCTTTCCTCCTCCTTCATGTATCATGTGACCGCCTTCGGCCAATGAGGTCCTGGTCGGTATCTTTCCTCCTTCCTTCGTGACGTCTTTAATCGGGCGTGGACAATCCGTGGCTTTGTTCTGGGGGAAGAAACACCTTGCTTAAAGAAACAAAAATTTAAATTGCCCTTTTCGTACGTGACCGAAATGACGCTCTCGGTTTCTTTTACACGCGGTATTTGTCAAACAGTTTATCGCTAATTGGATACGATCTAAGAAAAGGATTTCTCAGACTGGGTGGCGTTTTCGTGAACTAATAAAAATACTTCACTTTTTCTTTCGCGGCCTGATAATAAAATTTTTCATTATCTCAAAGAAACATTTTCAGCCAACATCATTCTTGTGTGGCTTTATTTTCAATTCTGGAATGGTCTGGGTTTTCGTATTAATGGTTTGCCTGCATATCCTTAGATAAACTTCCCACCTGTTACCTATCATATTTTTTTTCATTGTCTCTAAACTTTATTTCTTCAACCAAATTGATAACAAACTTCTATTTTTCGTGGACACGGAAGTAGGTCAGGTGTTTGACCGGGATACCTTCCAACATCTGTTATGTATCAATCGAGCGTGTGTGTGTTCGACTATGACCTGGTTTTCGTATTATATTTTTTTTCTTTCTTTTTCTTCTTCTTCTCTTTCTTTCTCCCAGATCGCTTGAACGCAATTAAAGAATTATTCTCAAAACCCAAATATTTTTCAGCTCTAAATAATTATCAAATGGTTGACAAACCGTGAAAAACAAATCATATATTTATGAATATTTCTTTTCAGCCTGCCAACTTATGCATGGTGCCACACACCTTCTCAACACTTGATCGCGTACATTGTGTTAATAAATTTCTAAGTTGGTAAATCACAGTCTTAAATATGCAAATCATTTGTTTTTAAAATAATAAAGCTCATTGTTCTAAAAATGTAAATGTCGTATTGAATTAAATATGGTAAGTTTTATTCGTGTGAATTATGCAAATATATTGTATATATTATCACATCGTATAAACAGAAAATATATTAAATAATTGTCGGACTTTAACCATTTCATAATATGTTGTCATTGTTTTCGTTCAGGTACGTCTCGTTCAGGGTCGATCGCCGAAGATTTGTTGTTTAAAAACATTATTTTTGACTTTGCTAACAAGACGCTTCTCTATAGCTGAGTAGTAGAGCACATCAGATCAATTGACTGTTCCGTATAGCACACAGGTTGGATTCCTCTCGGAGAACGCATATTTTTTACGAAATTTCTCGAACATTCAGGTCGGTAAATGAAATTCATACTACAGTGTAACCCGGATATAAGAGACCCGGATATAAGAGAAACCCGGATATAAGAGAAACCCGGATATAAGAGAGATTTTCTTTGGTCCCAAATGAGAGCCTATACTTACCTAAACAAAATAGACCAAACCCGGATATAAGAGAAACCCGGATATAAGAAACTTCTTCTCCGGTCCCGACAACTCTCTTATATCCGGGTTATACTATATTTAATTAAAAATCAGAGCATTTACTTAAATAAATTGCATCTATTAGAATAACACACACACAAACAAACACATACACATATATATGTTTGTGTGTTAGAACAATTACGACTGAGTAGTGAGTTCGATCCTCACTGGGTACTCCCTAATTTCGTCCTTGTGCCACATCTAACCTACGCTTGGAAAATCACTATATATGTTTGTGTGCGTGTTTGTGTGTTTGTGTGTTCAAATGTTAATTTCACCTTCATCCTTGCCGTGAGCCAACAGCTTGTGGTAGAATCCCCGACTGACGCCAATTCAGTTGGGTTTCGATCCTAGCTAGAGGCAACCGGTCATCTAGCCACACGAGCTGTGATACAGCTGTGGATGACAATATATATATATATATATATATATATATATATAGAGAGAGAGAGAGAGAGAGAGAGAATACAATATACAGATCATGACCATAAAAAACCATAAGTATTAACCGTAAACAAAAGAAAGGAGAAGGATCGGTTTCATTTATTCTTCAACTTTTCTTAAGCCACAGTGGCCTATATATAGAGAGGACTCGCTAATGTGATAGTGGCCCTTGGAAATCGCATTGAAGTGTAAAACTGACAGTCACCATAAAAATGTTGATCGCTATGTCCATACTAGATCTCAGTCTATCTCTCTCTTTCTTCATCTCGCTACACACGCACACACACACACACACACACATATATATATATATATATATATATATATATATATATATATATATATATATATATATATAAAACAAATCATAGTTGCATATGAATAGAGAAGAAAGCGAAACATATCTTAGCTGAAGCGATTCATATAATTCTAATATCAATTTGCATAAAAATTTCAAGAACATCTTTTAACATTTTCGTTTAGTATGTCGCTTAGCTTTCTCCATTGCTTACCCTGACGTTTCGGCTAACCTGATGAATATTTATGAGTGCTTCTTAAACTTACAAAATTTAAAAACTATAAATAATTGTTACAAAATAAAGTTCTTGCATTTGTCTTGAAAAAGTCCGTCAGAGGACAAAACGTTTCGGATAAACAAAGCTTTCCTTTTATCTTTATTGATATTGTTCTTTTACAGATATATTCTATCTGAAATTTTACATATAGTTGTATATATATATATAAAAGATAATATAGTTGCCCATTTACAGTATGTTTATTGCATAACAATTATTCAAAATGTGCGTTTGTTTATTTTGGGCGTTCCAGAGTGTGAAGAAAAGGAAAGAGGAGGAGAGAGGGAGGGGGGTACTTACGGACGGCTTGCTTCAGCCCTGGGGGAATTGTGCCCAGCTAAACCGGAAGCAAGTGACCAATTGATTCTTATGGTTTTGGTGGGAGGAGGATTGTGGGAAGCGGTTAGCCTCGTTATAAAAATCGACCTCCGTATTCTCACCAAACTTTTTTTCCTACCAGCCGACGCGTGACTGGTTAATTGTCGTCCTGAAAGATTATTTCTTTTCTACTCAGTTACTAGACCTAGTTGGAGCGGGTCGCAAGAGAAGGACTCCTTTTGCAACCCTTACCAGGCTGTTGTTGGTCTCTTCTGGGTTTCCCCCACTTTTACTGCGCCGAAAGTTTTTTTTTTTCAACAAGAGATGTAGAAGGAACATGTCACCGTAACGAGAATTCGAAATAATTTAATTCCTCCAGTTTATATATATATATATATATATATATATATATATATATGGTTGTATATTTAGGCAGCAATCCTTAATTTATGCATGTTTCATTAAAAACAACAGTCAAGGTACTGCGGTTAAGCTTTTTATTTAATTTTTCTTGTGTTTGAAAAGAGCTTTCTTTCCTGGACAAAGAGTGTGTAAAAACTGTCCAAATGTTTTATAGTTCCGAGCGCTTTCGGTTATACCTTTAACCATTATCAA